ACATCCATCGCTCGCCCAGCCCATCCCTGGGAGGCCAAGCAGGCTTCTGCTGGACCTTGGGAGGTGTCGGCCTCCCCAGTGCGAGCCTCTATGTCTATTTTGGATACTAATATCTCCTAGTTGGGTTGTGTGTTTTTCGTGTCCATTTAATCCTTTACGCACGCCTGGGAGACGGGATGCAGGCATTATTTTGTCCCTGTGGAGGCTAAGGCATAAAAAAGAAGGGAATCCGTCACCTGGGTCTCCTGACTGCAAGGCTAGGGTTCTTTCCAGGGCATCACGGCATATGCATGCATCTGAATGTGCCAGTGTGCATCAGTCAATCGATAAGCATGGATTAAGTGCCTGCTATGTGCCAACTTCTGGGCTAGAACCCGGGGACAGGGATAGGTACTGGCCACGTCATGTCATTAGTATGAGGAAACTCTCTCTGCCAGTCCTGGTCGGCATCTCTTCTACGAATTAGAGTCTTAGAAAGCAGCCCCGGAGATAACAAAAGATAAAAATGAAACAATCCCGTCCCTTAAGCAGCTAACTTTCATTCTACCGGGGGAAATGATATGGGCACGTATAAGCATTTGTAAAACTCATATAATACAGTAAATAGAAGGCAATGGGGGAAGCCGGAAGCCGGGGTTCATGAAAGGCCTCAGGAAGGAGGTGGCCTTTGAGCTGGGTTTGAATTCCATGAGGGAAAGGTGAGGAGAGAGTGCATTCCAGTCTTGGGGGACAGCGTTTGCAAAGGTACGAGGATAGGAGATGGTATGTCGTGAGATGTAAATGTATGAGGAACAGCTAGAATACGAGTTTTGAGTAAAGGGGAAGAATGTGCAAATAAAGGCTGGAAAGATGGGCTCAAGTCAGACTGTGAAGTCTCTAAATGCCGAGCTGAGTTTGGCAGCATCAGTGAGTGTCTGTGTGTATCCGTATGTGGTCGGTGTGCATCAGTATGTGGTCAATGTGAGGGTGTCCGATTGGGTGCGCGTGTGCGCGGACACGTCCCCGGACTGACCTTCCCCTGAGCCCCCGGGCTTCCCCGGCCTCTGACTCTCCTCCCTCTTCCCCGCCCCCAGGCCGCCCAGCCCGGCTTTTTAACCCTTCCCTTCGCTCCCGCGTCGGAGCTCTGCAGCATAGTGGGTCCGGGGTCTCTGGGCAGCGCAGAGTTAAGAATGAAGGGGTGACGTCACGGCGGGGGCTGGCCGGAGCGCGCGGCTGGAGGGAGGAACCGGGGGAGGGGGGCGCGTGGCCGAGCTCGGCTACCCCGGAGAGCGGCGCGCGCGCCCCCCTCCCCCCACCTCCCCTGCGGGGCCCGGGATCCTCACTCTGCTAGGCGCTGCCCAGCCCCAAGCGCCAGACGGGAGGGGGCCGGGGGGAGGAGTCCCGAGCATGCGCCCCCAGCCGGGAGCCCCCAGCCCCGAGCGCAGCGCAGCGCGGCGGCCCGCGGCTCCTCCGGCCCGAGCCGCGAGCCATGTCCCCGCCGCGCTCCGGGGCCCCCAGCAGCTGCTGCGAGCGCCGCCGCCGCCCGGGGAGGAGGAGGCGGAGGGGGCGGAGGCGAAGGCGCAGAAGGCGTGAGTCCCGCGCTCCGGCCCGGGCGCCACTATGAACCTGCCGCCGGGCAGCGGGGGCGGCCCCCAGACCCCGCTGCGCCTCGGCGGCGGCGGCGGCGGCGGCGGCGCTCACCTCCTCGGCTCGCCCTGTGCGGTCAACCCTCCCATTGACATCGTGGGGAAGCGCCGACGGTAACGCCCTGGGGGTGGGCTGGGAGCCCCGATCGGGACCCGGGGGGAGGCTGCGGGAGCGGGGCTTCCAGTCTTGCCTCACGTCCTCGGTTCTGCGTGGAAGGGCCTTTTCGTCTCGGGCATTCCGTGTTCCACGTTGTGAGGTCCTTTCCAGCTTGGCCGATCTAAGTTGGAAGGTCCCTTCCAGTTTCAAGGACCCTCCCTCCCAGCTCTGCTATTCGGATCTAAGGTCCCTTCCAATTCTGACGTTCTCTGTTCTAAGGACTCTCTCAGCTCTGGCATTCTAAGTTCTAAGTTCCCTTCCAATTCTGACATTGTTTGTCCTATGACACACAGATTATACAGCTCTGACATTGTGGGTTCTATGATCCAAGGACCCCTCCCGGATCTGACATTCGGTATTCTAAGGTCTGGTGCCTTCTACATCAGACGTTCAGGATTTATTTCAACGTCTCTTTCAGCACTCAAATTTTATATTACGGGGAGCCTCCCAGCCCTGATAGTCTATATTCTAAGGACTGTTCTGCTCATTTGGGAACCAGGATAAGCACCTCGGGGACTGGGCTCCTGGAACGAGAGCCTGTGTCGTCTTGGGCAAGCCTATTCCCCCCGGACTTAATTTCCCCAGTTCTGACACTGTTCTAATGCTCCTTTCTGTTTAGGATCTCTGTGGAGGCTATGGGTACCACGTGGGTAGGGAGAAACAGGGGCTGCAGCTGTCTTCTGGCCTAAGATTAGCCCCAGGGGGAGGGGGGAAGGAGAGAGAACAAGAGACTGAGATAGAGGAATCTGATTGGCTTCAGAGAGGTAAGGGGCCTGTTAGAGAGAGGTGCACCCTGAAAAGGGAGGACCTTCTCTGGCTTTCCTGACTGGGAAGAGATGACTGGTTAAGGGCACACTGGAGTGATCTGACTCTTCCACCCTGGAGTGGCCCCTGGGGCACAGAAGTCCGGGCCAACCTGGGTCCTGGGAGTTTTGCCAGCCTCAGGGGACTGTGTAGGGGCAAGGTCAGTACCCTGTCTGCTGATGGGAAGGAGAGGAAGAGAGGTTGAAATCACAGGGCCACTGGGCCCCAGAACTCATCTACATATAGACCTGGCTCCTCCTTACTCCCCCAAGGCTTCCCCTGGCTCTCTTCCTCAGAGATCATGACATGTGGTAGAAAGGACACCACCTGACCCTTCCAGGAGCAGGCCTCAGGTGGGCGGGTTGGTTGGATTGGGAAAACACAGATACACAGTACAGACAGATATACACGTAGCGAATGTGTAGGTATGAGGATACACGTGAAGCCAGAGACAAAGGAATGCACAGATCTCCATGCCCACAGATACATGGCCACATAGACACAGCTGGAAAATGCCTAGGTACATGGACACGGGCTCTGTGTGTGTGTGTGTGTGTGTGTGTGTATGTGTGTGTATGTTAGAATGTAAGCCCTTTGAGGGCAGGAACTGTTTCACTTTTGTCTTTGCATCTCCAGAGCCTTGCACATTGTAAGTCCTTAATAAATGCCTATTGATTAATTTCCTTCCAGACTACTCAGCTACACCTACACAGAGACCCATTAGGGTGTTGATCTCATACCATGTATGTGTGTGGCCTCCCCACCCAGGATACTACTGGTACGTGTCCTGGCCTATACTCTGGCACATGTACCACCATAGGCCTTGGCACACATGCTGGTATCTGTTGTGGGCACACAAAACTGGCCTGGCACACCCCCTGGCATATCCACCGCAGTAGCACATGTGTTGCTACACACCCTGGCACCCATATTGGTACATGCACGAATACACACCGACCCATGCTCTAGGGCACACAAACACTGTCACATGCTGTGGAGTACACACATGCCAGCAGCAGTCCCTACAGTCTCTGCTCCTCAGAAATGGTCTTACCACAGGCTTTCAGGGTGGACTGTGGTTTCCGGAGAAGTAGCATAGCCCCTCCTCCCCCACACCCTGCACTCCAGGCTGGGGGTAGAGAGCAGGATAGGAAGACCAGGTCTTTAGAACCTCAAGTCCCCAAAAGGATCCAGTGTTACTGGGTGACGAGCAGGGGGAGAGACCTGACCACCCTCTAACCCCTGCACTTATCCTTATCCTCCCTCCCCAATCTTCACACACCCTAGATACAGCTGCCCAGGCCTGAGCTACAGGGCTCAGGGTATGTGGCCCTGGACTTCTGTGGAGAAGTAGAGGGGAGGGAGAGAGATGCAGGGACAGGAATCTGGGGCACCGCTTTTAGTGGACTGAACCAGTCACAGTGAGGAAAAACTGGGCAGCCTTAGGCTCTGTAAGGAAAAACACTTGCTTAGTAGTCAAAACTATTCCTACATGGGGATGGGCTGCTTTGGAAGGTAGAGACTTCCCTGTCAGTCACTGGAGGTCTTCAAGAAGAGCTCCCTTCCATTCAGCAAATATTTGTTAAGCCCCTAGGATGTTCAGTGCACTGTGACAGGCCCTGAGGATACAGAGGAAAATTAATCAGCCTTTCTCCTCTAAAGAGTCAGGGTTGGGGGGAGATGTTCATCAGGGCTGTTGTGAAGGCCTTTGCTGTTGGGGTAGGGGTTGGGCTCAATGTCCTCCAGCTCTGAGCAGCAAACCTAGAAGAAATGGGAAGACCTAGGCAGAAGCCTTAAATGCAGCATCTCTCTGTGTGACCTTGGGAATGTCCTTTCCCCCTTTCTGGCCCTCTGTTTCTTTATTTGTAAAAAAAAAAAAAGTGGAGGTTGAAGTAGGTGATCCCTAAGCCCCATCTGTTTCTAAGTCCTATGATCTTGGGACTTGAACAAGGTCCGGCCTCTCGAGCCCTGTCTTCCTCTCCAGTGAGAACTAGCGGCCTCTGGGTGACTCATTTCTTCCTTCTCAAAGATGGGTCATCTGGGACCTGAGACAGCCCAACCCATCTATCTCCTGGACGCAGAGGCTGACTTCCCAGGGCAGGCCCAGAGTGTTGACCCCTGGCTTTAGGGATCAAAGGAAGGTCAGATAGCCACAAGGTAGAATAATGGGACTGGAGAACTCTGGGAACCCTGAGCTTGGCCAGCCTGGGCATGTATAGCCAGGTCTACTTAGCATGGAGCTTGGTATGGGGCTCATTCCACAGTGGCTACACTCTCTTCATGGCCCTGTCAGTGGGGATCGTCCGGCCAATTTCCACGCCACAGTGAAAATGGGGGAAGCCTTTGGGTGGGAGAAGGGCTGCCGATGTCCTCTGTCCCCTCTCAGCTGCTTTTGCTTCTCCTTCTGCCCATAGCTTTGATCTTGAGAATGGCCTGTCTTCGGGAAGGAGCCCACTGGATCCACAGACCAGCCCTGGCTCAGGCCTCGTCATCCAAGGCAACTTCCCTCACAGTCAGAGGCGAGAGTCTTTCCTCTACCGATCAGACAGTGACTATGACCTCTCCCCCAAGGCCATGTCCCGGAACTCCTCCATCGCCAGTGACCTGTGAGTGCCTCTTTGGACTGGAGGGAGGGGCAGTGTAAGAGAGGGTCCTGGGAGAGAATGCTTTGTTCCTGGATGTCTTTGTTGGGTGAAGGGGTAGGGATAGAGAGAGGAGGAAGGGCCAAATGCTGTAACATTGAACAATTGTTCAAACCTGAGTGCTAGCCCCAATTCTCCTAGGGACTCACTGAGTGACCAACCCTTGGCCAGTGAGTTTTCGCTTCTGTAAAATGAGGAGATTGGACTTCACATTCTCCCAGTTCATTCTTCTCTGGCATGCTGATTCTGTCATATATGGGGCAGATCATAAAGCCAAGCTGGAGCTGGGAGGTGGAGGGGGTGGATATTCCCTAGAGAGGACAGATCACAGTGCTATTGAAGGTATTCAGAGGGGGCTTCCTGGAGGAGGCAGGGCAACACCTAGTTCTTCTTACCCATAGTCTAGGTTCCACTAGCATCTATTGAATGAATAACGGAAGTGAGGTCTAGAAGGATGAGTAAATTTGGAAGGGGAGGTGGAGGAGCAGATGGGGGTGATTAGGAAGGGGATTTGTAGCTATACAGACACAGGCAAGGGCCCTCCCTCTATGTGTGCACCTAGTCAGCTGCTCACTGAGAGATGAGTAGATAGGGAATTTGAGCGGAGCGGCTCAGACACGAGATGCCCACATAACCCTCAATTCTGCCCATTTTCTTCCTCACTGTCTACCTTACACAGACTTTTTCTCTCTCCTGCAGACATGGAGAAGACATGATTGTGACTCCATTTGCCCAGGTGGGTCTAAGCCTCTTCCCTGGCCCCTGCTGGGAAAAAGTTGGGGGGGAGGGGGAGGTTGTGGAACAGACTGGGGCAGAACTGAGAAGTCCCTGTTCTCTCTAGTCCTGCCCAGGGGCTGCTAAAGATCCCAGTCCTCTCTTCCCTGGCCAGTCCCACATGTCTCTGCCCTAAATAGTCCTGTCCCAGGGTCCACTCTCCCCCGCCCTGGCTGAGCAGGGATGCTGGAGTGGCTCCACAGGCTGGGAGGCTCAGTGGGTGGTGCCTCCCTTACCAGGTCTTAGCCAGTCTACGAACAGTCAGGAGCAACTTTGCCGTGCTGACTCGCCTGCAGGACCGTGTGGCCAAGTGAGCGCGTGCGTGTATGGAGGGCTGGGGGAGGGGCATGTGGGGTCCAACCAGCCTGGCCTGACCCTAAGTTGGCCCTCTGTGTTCCACAGGAGAGTGTCTAGCAGTAACCCACCTTCTGGCTGCCGCACCGCGCCACTCCCAGGTAACGAGTCAACGGTCTTAGCTGCCGCCTTCTTATTTCTGAAGCCTTGGATTCCAAGTCAGAATATCCTCTGCTGTCTCCACCATCCATTTCCCTAGGCCAGTGGGAAAGTCCTCCCATATCATTCCTTACTTTTTATACACACACACACACACACACACACACACACACACACACACTCTCTCTCTCTCTCTCTCTCTCTCTCTCTCTCTCCAGCTTTTAGGGCCAGCTATGACTCCCTTAGCAATGCTTCCAGCTGTGAGCTTCCCCCAGCCTGCCCCCCCGTTCTCTTCCTAGGGAGAGAGGGGCAAAACATCCCCAGCGAGCCCCCAGAGCCCCTTTCCCAGCCTCACCTCCACCTGCCACCTTTACTGTTTGACAATCAGGTTTTTAGGGGTGTTTCTTTTCTTCATTTTTAATTTTTTCATTGACATCTTGCTTTTACATTAACTCGATTTTCCAATGTATCACCTCTCCCCACTTCCACTCTTAGAGCCTCCTCCCTTATAGCTAAGAATAACAGAAAGGGACAAAGAAAACAGTTCAACAAAGTCAACCAACATCCACCGAGTGCAATTTCAGGCCTGTTTCCAATAGTGCCTTGGAAATAGAGTCTGAACTCTGGACTCAAAATCCATCAGTGCCAATTTGTGTATGACTGACAACGAGTCCAGGAAGAGGGTAGGCATAGGAAGTGTAATAGCTGATAATAATACTAGCCGAGAGGGACCTTAACAACAAAGAATGTCAGCTCTGGGTAGAACCTTAGAACCCAGAAGGTCAGAGCTGGGAGGGCCCTTAGCACACCAGGATGTCAGGGCTGGGAGGGCCCTTAGAACCCAGAGGGTCAGAACTGGGAAGGCCCTTAGAACCCAGAAGGTCAGAGCTGGGAGGGCCCTTAGAACCCAGAAGGTCAGAGCTGGGAGGGCCCTTAGAACCCAGAAGTTCAGAGTGGGGAGGGCCCTTAAAACACAGGTTGTCAGAGCTGGGAGGGCCCTTAGAACACAGAATGTCAGAGTGGGAGGGCCCTTAGAACCCAGAAGTTCAGAGCTGGGAGGGCCCTTAAAACACAGGTTGTCAGAGCTGGGAGGGCCCTTAAAACACAGGTTGTCAGAGCTGGGAGGGCCCTTAGAACCCAGAAGGTCAGAGCTGGGAGGGCCCTTAGAACCCAGAATGTCAGAACTGGGAGGGCCCTTAGCACACCAGGATGTCAGGGCTGGGAAGGCCCTTAGAACCCAGAGGGTCAGAACTGGGAAGGCCCTTAGAACCCAGAAGGTCAGAGCTAGGAGGGCCCTTAGAACACAGGTTGTCAGAGCTGGGAGGGCCCTTAGAACCCAGAAGGTCAGAGCTGGGAGGGCCCTTAGAACACAGAATGTCAGGGCTGGGAAGGAACCTCAGTTAAAAAGATCATCTAATCCAGGGGTGGAGAACCTGCTGCCTCTAGGTACTCAAGTGCAGCCCTTTAACCGAAGTTTAGGACCTAGAGGGCCACATGTGGCCTTGAGGCAGCAGGTTTCCCACCCCTGATCTATTCTAACCCACTTCATATTACATATTGGGGAACCGAGGCCCAGAGAACACAGATTTGCCAAAGGTCTCCCACCAAGTTGGTGGCCAAACAAGGACTCAACCACAGGTCTCCTGAGGTCCGTGACACCAGGCTGCCAACAGATCATTTGGTCCAAATACGTTGCTCTTTTAGAGGAGCAAACAGAGTCTTGCCCAGTTCCACAGCCAGTTCATGTTGGGGTAGAATTTGAACCCACGTCTCAACTCCCAAATCCACTGGTCTTGCCATTGTACCACACTTCCTTTTGTCTCCTGGAGCTAGAGAAACAGGAGAAAAGCAGAAGATCCAGACCCCTAGAGCAGTTAAATGACTTAGCCTCCCTGAGTCAGTTGGGGGGAGCCCAAGACAGCCATCGATGCTTGCCCACCCCTCGTCCTAGCTCCCAGAGCTGCTGGGGTTGAAGAGCTGGTTTTAGAGAGAGCAATGAGTGACCCGCAGGTCTCTCCCACAGAGGACGCCTGCCAGAAGCTGGCCATGGAGACCCTGGAGGAGCTGGACTGGTGCCTGGATCAGCTGGAGACCCTGCAGACCCGGCACTCCGTCAGTGAGATGGCCTCCAACAAAGTGAGTCAGCACCAGCTTCACCTAGGAGGCTGGGCCAAAGGTCTAGGGTCCCATTTAGCCTCCCCCTCAGCCCCTCCACTCTGAACAGACTGATGAAATGGGGCTGTAAAAATACAGAATGTCAGACCTGGTGAGCCCCTTAGGGCACAGCATGTCAGAGAACCTGCCTCCCCCAACTTCTGTCCCCACATTTACAGATAGGGAAACTGAGGCCCAGAGGGGGAAGGCTCTTATTCAATACCAGCAAATTAGTAGCTGAGCTGGGACTAGAACCTTGGTCACTAGACTCTCTGCATGGGGCCTTTCCCCTCCCCACCACAGTTGTGAGGGCCTAGCCGTTCCCCAGCCCCCGCCCCCTTCCTGTTTGCTCCACAGATGTGTCCGTGGTCGGCCAGGCACAGCTGGCTCTGTGCGTCATTGGCCTTTTCTCCCCATCTTCTGAAGTAGATTTAAAACCCCAACCGACAAAGAAACAAGACCTCCCTGGCTAAGCCCGGGCCGGCTGGGCCTGGCATCCCTTGGAGCCCAGGAGGCAGCCTCAGCTGCCTGAGGGAGAGGAAGGAGGGGCAGGGCCAGGAAAGTCACTTCTCAGAGTCTCTGGCTGGTTTTGTGTCTCTGTCCTTCCTCAGGCATCTGTGTGGGGTAAGGTAGGAGGATGGGCCAGCGACTGCCCTCACCCCCTACTGATGCACATATACGTTTGAAGCAAGCCCAGTACCTGAAAATCTAGAAATCAGTTTGAAGGATGAACTTGCAAAGGAATTCAGCAGAGCATAAAATTCACTTGAGAAGAGATTAGATTTACATGGGCATTTGCATTAAATACCGGTCTGTTTACATCCGGTGAGACTATTCCCACTGGCACTGGATGGGCTGCTTGGGGGCCAAGGAGAGCCCATAAGGCCTGTCTGAATCCTTTCCCCTGTTTTCTCTGTCCTGGTCAGAGATGCCTGAGGCCAAGCACTAAAGGGAAAAAGAACCAGAGCTTGTGGGACGTGAGGGTGCTCCCCCATCCCCTGGGTGTTGTATCAGGGCAACCTACATTATGCTCTAAAGTGAGAGGGGGTTGAGAGAACTGTGTTAGGTGGGGGAAGCTCTGGTATTGCCTCAGAATCCTCAGAGAATTTCCTGTGAGGGAAGGGCATGGGTGATGAGGGAGAGGGATTAGATCTTTGAAGTAGGCTGTGAGAACCTTTGGTATGCTGGATATCAGAGCTAGGCAAGATCTTAGAATTGTTGAATGTCAGGGTGGGTGGGGGCCCTAAGAATGGAAAATAGCAGAGCTGGGAGGGCTCTGAGAATACAGATGGTCAGAATTGGGGAGGGGGGTCCCTGAGAACACAGAATGGCAGAGCTGGGAGGGCCCTGAGAATACAGATGGTCAGAATTGGGGAGGGGTGTCCCTGAGAACACAGAATGGCAGAGCTGGGAGGGCCCTGAGAACAGAGGATGGCAGAGCTGGGGGGGCCCTGAGAATACAGAATGCCAGAGTTGAGAGGACCCTTAGAACACAGAATGCCAGAGCTAGGAGGGGTCTTAGCGGCCATTTAGTAAAGATTACTCATCTTACAAAGAAAAAAGCTTAGGAAAAGAAAAGGTTTTTGGCAGGGTGACAATAGGAGGGAGTCTCAGGATAGTGGCTCTTTCACTAGGCTCCAAACCATCTGTACCCAGATATCTCTTCCTCTCTAAGGGGAAACTGAAGCACAATCCCATCTGGGGGCCCCCCTCAGACAAGCCAATGAACAGTATTGGGTCATGACCCAAGCGTACTAGCACCCAGACTATCCTTGGGCCTCTGCTCTACAAAGGGGACATCGTCCTCCTCCTTTCCTGGACATGAGGTTTGCAATGACTATAGACTCCCCACTGGGGTTACAGGAAAGTGTAATAGGTGTTGGGGGTGATATTGAAGTTAAAGGGAAGAGGGGATCCCAGGACTATTGGGGATCTACATTTGATTTCCTCCCCACAGTTCAAGCGGATGCTTAACCGGGAGCTGACTCACTTATCAGAGACCAGCCGCTCTGGAAACCAGGTGTCTGAATATATCTCCCGGACCTTTCTGGGTGAGCGGACCTCGGAGGCGGCTAACCTGGCAAGGGTGGGGAGGCTTCAGGTGCCAAGACACGTGGGTTTGGTTTGATTCCCAACTCTGTCACTGACCCACAGTGAATCATTGGGTCATCCACTGCCCTTCTCTGGAGCTCAGCTTCCTCCTCCATAAAAATGGGAGACTAATCCTTTCCTACCTCACAGGCACTAGTCTTTTGGGCTCCTTCCTGCCTGACTCCGCAAGGCTCAAAAATAGCTGTTGGGCTACACTTCTTGCACCATTTGTGTGCACATAGTTGTTGAGGTCAGGGCCTGTGTGCTCTTCTGCCTTTCTCTGTATCCCTGGTGCCTTAGCATAGTGCCTGGCACACAGTAAGTGCTTAATAATTACTTAGTGATTGATTGGTTGGTGATTGGGAAAGGCTGGGATGGAAAAGACCTGGCCACCCCTTAACACAACTCTCTAGTTGGCAGAAGGTGAGGAGAGCAGGAGCAAGGAGCAGGATGGGGGATGAAGAAAGTCATCTCACCTTTGGGAGTCCCAGCTTCATTATCTGTAAAATGGGAGAGTGGACCTGTGGGCCTTTATGGCCCCTGCCAGCTCTAAAATAAAACCCGTGATGCTATAATCATTGATTGGCTCTGAGAGGTGAGGGACAGGGCAGAATCAAAGATAACCTGGAGGTTTCAAGGACAGGAGACAAAGTCAAGGGGGGCTCAGAAGCTGTGAAGTGAGAAGGACCAAGACTTGTGGGGCTTGTTGGGTTGGGGGCCTTCTTGGGGTGGACATCCCGAAGGCAGGTGAGGATTTGGGTCTGGAGCTTAGAAGAGAGGACAGGGCTCGAAGTGGGGCTTTAAGAGTCCCCTACAAAGGATTCCTATTTGAGGTCAATAAGATGGTGGTGGAAGTGAGAGCCCTGGCCAGACCATTGGGGGACCTCTGATCAGAAGGGCTCAAGTGGAGGACCGGGAGCCGAGAAGGAAGAGGAAAGGAGGAATGATCAGAGAGGTGAGAGGAGAACTAAAAAGGGGGCTCCTTCTGAAGCCGAGAGAGCAAAGTGAATCCTTTAGGGAGGAGACACTTGGCAGTGTCAGAAGATACCGAGGAATCAGGAAGGAGGGGAGAAGGGAGGGATACTCACACTGCCCATCAGTGGCTAGGTCAAGCTTCAGACCCAGGACTTTCAAGTCCACAGCTCTGCCCAGTGCCCCAGCCCAGTGTGGTATGCTGGACAAAGCACTGGACACACTAGGTGTGTGACCCTGGGCAAGTCACTTAGAGTCTCTTTCTAGGAGCCTGGAACAACAGGCAGAGGGGTTGGCAGGGACTGGTGAAGGCTTTTAAGGATGGGGAGACCTTGGGAGTGTTTGTAAGTTGTAAGGCAGGGAGATTAATGGAGGCAGGAGAATGACTGAGAGGACAAGCTGCCACAGGAGAAAAAAGGAGATTGGGTCAAGGGCGCAGGTAGAGGGATTGGCCTTGGTGAGGAGAAGGACTTCCTCTTCTGAGATTGGAACAAAAGAAAGAATGGGAGGTGGTTAAGGGGCTTCAGAGGGGAAAAGGAGCTTGTGACAGATGGCCAAGAGGGAAGAGGTTGTGGAAGTAGCTTGGGGAGGAAAGAGGATTTCTAGGCCTGAACTCTGACCCTGAGTCCTCAGCTTCCTGGTTGGACACCTCCATCTGGATGTCTCACTGGCTCCTCAGACTCAGTCTGCCCGAAGCAGAAATGGATCATCCTTCCTTCTAGAGCCAGACTTAGCCCTGTAGAGAGTACTCTCAGGTACCCGGGCGTACAGCCTCTGAGTCCTCCTCCACTGCTCGCTCTCCACGTCCAGTCCATTGCTAGGTCTCCCCGATCCTTGCTCCACCATCTCCCCCATCTTTGCCCCTCTTTCCGCTTGCTTCATTCATTGCTTCTCACCTGATCTGTCGTGATAGAGGAAAAAGAGACAGATGGAGAATATGAGAAAGAGAGAAGATGTGAGAGAGGCAGAGGCAGAGGAGAGGCTGCTTCTTATTAAGCGCTTGCTGTCTGCCAAGCGTGGTGCTAAGCACTGAGGATTCAGACGGAGGTGGGAGAAGAGGCAGTTGGCGATAACGTGGGGGGTCCGGGAGTGAAGTGATCAGGGCTAGGACCCCTCATGAAATGGCAGCCTGGCCTGGGGACTTACTTCTCGGGGGAGCTTCCTAATTGACGTCCCTCTTCTCCAGTCTGTCCTCCCACACAGCGAGCCGAAATCACCATCTTCAGGCCTGACTGGGTTATTCCCCTCCTCAAAAATCTTCAGTGGATCCCTTTTGCCTCTAGGCTAAAATACCGATTCTTTGGCCTGGTATTTAATCTGGACCCCATTAATGTTTCCAGGCTGAATTCTTAGCAACTCCCATCACAGAATCTACATTCTAGCCGACCTGGGCCATTTCCCAAATTCAGCAGCACACAGGCTGTCCTCACACCGCTCTTTCTCTGCCTTTCAGAATCCTTCTCATCCTTCAAGTTCTATCTCCTCTGGGACACCTTCCTCGATCCCCTCAGTCTTGACACTCTTTTGCTCCTCAGATTAGCTTTGTACCTCTTGTATGGTTTAAAGCATAATAAAAGTAGCTCAACAGAAACTCGAGATGTGCAAATTTTGGGATATCTCCATCCAAATGTCTCTACAGACTATTTGTACCTGACTTGTGGTAGAGCCTTCTGAGCTTGCGTTGGTCTGATCAACCACAGTGGGACACACTGTACATTGACACTGACATCACGATGTCCTTTTACTCCTCTTCGAGCGTGAATGACAAACGACAATATCTTGTGTGTGTGCACATGTATGTGTTATGTTTCTCCTGCTCCCAGAAGTAAGTAGGGCCCCAAGGATGGGGATGCAGAGGACCGTAGACCTACAACTGGAAGGGACCGCAAAGGCCATTCAGTCCAGTCCCCTCTTTTTACAAATGAGGAAACTGAGGCTGAGAGAGGTTAACATTTTTGTCCCTGTATCCCCAGCACCTAGCACCACGCATTTCGAAGACATTTAATAAATGTAGAATGGAATTGAATTTGGGCTTTGAGAAGTTGACGCCAACCATCAGTCCACACAAGCGTTTACTATGTGCCAAGAGGGTGCTAGCCTAGGCACTAGGGAGACGAGACAAAAATGGGATAGTGCCTGTCCTCAAGGAGCTTCCATTCTGGTGACAGCAAGGACGTGTACACAAGGAAGTGCACACAGAATCAACATGGGATAAAATCTGGAGGGAAGGACCACAGTATTCTTGCAGGGGCAAGACCAGGAAAAGCTTCATATAGAAGCAGTCACTGGAGCGGAGTTTGGAGTCAACAAGTGTGTATTAAGTAGCGACCATGCTCCAGGCACTGTTAGGTGCTGGAGATACAAAAACTGAAGAGGTGGAACGTAAGGTGGAAGAGCATTCCAGGCAAGACAGCCAATGCAAAGTTGTAGAAATAGTCACTGGGGCATCTGGCTAGGTGCAGCAAGACCAGCCAGGTGGCAGCTAGGGGGATGCCGTAGTGTGCAGAGTGCTGGATCTGGAGCCAGGAGGGCCTGAGTTCAAAATCCAGCCTCAGACACTTATGAGCTGTGTGACTGTGAGCAAGTCATGTAGCCGCTGTCTGCCTCAGTTTCCCTTTCTGTAAAATGGGAATCATAAAAGCACCTACCTCCCAGGGTTGTTGTGAGGATTAAATGAGAAAGTCTTTGCAAAGCACATTGTAGACCTTAAAGCACTGTGTAAATGCTAGCTGTTATGGCTGGACAACAGGGTAAGAAAGAGAAGTAATGTGAATGAAGGTGGAAAGAGTATGTCAGAGCCAGGAAGGGAAGAATGAAACCAAAAAGGTTATATTTGATTCTAAAGGTAATAGGGAGCCATTGCTGTTTATAGGAGGTGACAGAGTCACTACAGAAAAATCATTTAGGCAGTTGTGTGAAGGATGGAATGGAGAGGGAAGAGACTGGAGGTGGGAAGAACAATTAAGAGCCTGTTGCAGGAGGTGGGGATCCTCAGGTGTGGAATGTGCATATTTTGTGAGATTTTTTTTAGTGTTTTAATTGTTTTTGCTGAATTTTAAAATAAAATTTTGTCATAAAGAATGGCTGGGGGAAAGGGAGGTGGATGTAGTGGGAATTATAAGCCACATAAAAACAAATGATCTCAGCAAAAATATATTTGAAGAGGGGATACCCAGGCGCTCACCCTGGGCTATACACCCACTGCTTTCCTTCAGATAAGCAGCATGAGGTAGAGCTCCCCTCCATGCCGGTGAAGGAGAGGGAGAAGGAGAAGGAGGAGCGGCCAATGTCTCAGATCAGCGGCGTTCGCAAGCTAACACACGGTTCCAGCTTCTCCGCAGCTGCCATTCCTAGATTTGGCGTGAAGACCGACCATGAGACCCTGCTGGCGAAGGTGCGCTTTGGGCTGGGGAGGAGGGACGGGAACGCCGGGTGCTCCTAACCCCTTCCGATCCCAGCACTCTCCGAGGGCCTCTGCAAAAGGAAGAGCCCAAAGCTACTAGCCGGTAGCAGGCTGGGGAGAGCCTGCCTTACGTCTGGGGGGGGGGGCACGGAGGTGATGGGCAGGGAGCTCAGGCAGGAAGCCTATTCCCCCTTCTCTGTGGGGCAACTTTCTCTGCTTGGCTACAGTTGCCAAGCCTAGTGGCCAGAGCTCTGAATTTGGAATCTGAGTTTGAATCCCTGCTTTCTGTCTTATTTACTTGTGTGACCTGAGGCAAATCAATCATTTAACCTCTCTGGGCCGCAGTTTCTCCATCTGTGAAACAAAGGGATTGGACTAGATCTCTCAGTTCATTGTATGAACTCTCTCTCATGGCCCACTCTCTGTTCCAGGAGCTGAAAGACACAAACAGGTGGGGTCTGGATGTATTCAAGGTTGCAGAGCTCTCTGGAAACCGCCCGCTGACGGCCATCATGTATAGTATCTTCCAGGTATGGCTCGTGGACATGCTGGGCCAGAGAAAGGCTGTACCTCCCAGGGCCTTGTCCCTCCCTCACCCTGGGCACTTAGCACCAGGGTCTCCCGGAAACTCAGAGCTCTCTAGAGCCAACTCCCTCCCCATGTAAGAATCCCTGTATATTCCACAGATGTGGAGCTCATTCCCTTTCAAGACAGCCCAAAACATTGGGAGGCAGCTGCGATTCACTAGTGGCTGCTGTGAATAGGTCCCATACTGTGAATTCAAAACTATGCAGCCATTGCCTTCATGGGGAGGCAGCATGAAGGGATGGGCAGAAGGTGGGAATCCTGGTGCCAGCATCTCAGCCGTGTGACCTTAGGGCAAGTCTCTCAACCCGTCAAGCAAGGAAGGCCTCAGTTTCCTCATCCCTCACAGGAGGGCTTCAGATGACTTGAATTCTAAGATCCCTTCCTGTGGTTCTCAGATCTCTCTTGGTCTCAGTTTCCTCATCTGTAAAATGGGGATAATCATAGCACCTCCCTCCCAGGGTTGTTCTAAGGGTCAAATGAGATAATAAGTAAATTGCTTTGCAAAGCTTTAAAGCACTGTATAAGTGTTGGTTATTACTATTATTTCTCTGGTGCCTCCAGGCTCTAAATCTAAGATCATATGACCTCTCTGGGTCTCAGTTTCCCTGTCTATAAAATGGGAGCTTTGGACTAATTAATTTCTAGGGCTCTTCCAGCTTCAAAACTTCTGACTCAGTTTCCTCTCTCGGTCCCACACCCAGGAGCGAGACCTGCTAAAAACCTTCCAAATCCCAGCGGACACCCTGGTCACCTACCTGCTGACCCTGGAGGACCATTACCACGCTGATGTGGCCTATCACAACAGCATCCACGCGGCAGACGTGGCCCAGTCTACCCATGTGCTCCTGTCTACGCCAGCACTTGAGGTTCGGGGGCAAGGCGCAGGGGGAGCCCTGACAGCTGCAGCTCCTGAGGCCACTAAGATAATATTTGTAAAGTGTTTAGCTCAGTGCCCGGCAAATAGAAGATGCTTAATAAAGGCTCCTTTCCTGCCCTTCTTCTCCCTTCCCTCCCCTGCTCCTATCAGCTTCCACATTGGCCTCCAAGGTCGCAGAACCAGAGCAGGCAGAGGGAGCCCTCTGGGGAGCTGTTCTGGTGTCTCTGGGGTGTTCCTTTCATGGATCTGGATTCCACAGTGAGTGTGGGTTCTCTCCCTGCCCATCACCCGCTATCCCCCCTGCCAATAACTCTGTATCTGTCTCAAGGCTGTTTTCACCGACCTGGAGATCCTGGCTGCCATCTTTGCCAGTGCCATCCATGACGTGGATCACCCTGGGGTCTCCAACCAGTTTCTGATCAACACCAGTGAGTGGGGGCTGCACCTTGGCCCCAAGGCAGCCCAAGACCCTGAAATGAGTTTGAGCTGAGTTTGGGGGGTGGAGGGGAGGAGGAGACCTGGACCGAGGGGGAAATTGCCCCACCTTGTTGTAGCTGGGAACTAGAAGACCTGGGTTTGAGTTCTAGATCTGCCTCTGGTTTGCTGTGTGGCCTTGGGAGACCTCCTTCCCTTCTCTGGGCTTTATAGGATCACGGGGTTTAGAGATGGAAGGGACCTCAGAGATTGTGTGGTCCAATACTTCATCTCACAGAGGGAGAAAGTGAGTCTCAAAGGTGAGCAGTGACTGCCTGTGTCACCATGGCTAAGTAAGAACCAGTATTCACACCCAGGTCCTCTGAATTCACATCCAAATCTCCAAATACTATGCCAGCCTGGTTTTTATCATCTGTAAGATGAGGAGACTAGATGCTTCAGGCAAATTGGGCTACTCAGAGCTTTCTCCACTTCATGCCTTCTTTCATGTCATCCCCTCCTGGGTCTCTGCCTGTTCAATTCTGACTTGTCCTGCAAGGCCTCCACCAGGAAGCTTGTCCTGGTCTGCCCAGATGGAGGTCATCCAGAGCAGAGGAGGCAAACACATACCTCCCAGTGTGGCCCAAGCCAGATTAAATTGCAATGGGGGGGGGGAGACAGCTAAGTGGCACACTTAGGTCTATCTTACAGATAAGAAAACTGAGGCTCGGAGTGGTTAAATAACTTACCTGTGATCACCTAATAATAATAATAAGCATTTATTATATGGCACATATATTATGTGGCCCTCTGAGGTTTATAAAGTACTTTAAACATCTCTCATTTGGCCCTCAGGATAATCGAGGGAGGTAGATGCTGTTCATTGTTGTCATTCAATCAGTGAGTACCATCGAATTCTTTGTGACCCCATTGGGGGTTTTCTTGGCAAAGATACTAGAGTGGTTTGCCATTTCCTTCTCCAGCTCATTTTACAGATGGGGAAACTGAGGCAAACAAGGTGAAGTGACTTGCCCAGGGTCACATAACTAGTAAGTATCTGAGGCTGCATTTGAACTCAGGTCCTCCAGACTCCAGGCCCAGAACTCTATCTGTTGCTCCATCTAGCCGCCCTTAGATGTTATTATCCCCATTTTAAAGATGAGGAAATTAAGGCTGGGAAAGGTTGAGATGACCTGTCTGCTAGTGTCTGAGACAGAATTCAAACTCGGGCCAGTCTCAGAGACAGGGAGACCTGGGTTCAGATCCCACCTCTGATACCTCCGTGACATGGGGTAAGGTCCCTTTAGTGCTTACATATCGTGATATGTAATTATTCAAACCTTTATATATTTTTCATTTACAATTGTGCAATCATTATAAATGATCACAAACACTATTTTGTTGACAAAGTCTTTCCAACAACTCTCTAACACCTTAAGAGAAAAGTTGTCAACTTGTCTCAAGGAGGGAGTTTCCATACCTTAGGGTGCTTTGGGCGAGTCCCCAGGACCCTCCAAAAAAGCCACATCAATAGCAATCACCATCACCACCATAATATTTTATTATTTCTTTTTTGGGCTGGGCAGTGGGGTTAAATGACTCACCCAGGGCCACACAGCTAGTAAGTGTCAAGTGTCTGAGGCCAGATTTGAACTTGGGTCCTCCTGACTGCAGGGCCGGGGCTCTCACCACTTCGCCTCCAGCTGCCCCACCACCACCACCATCATAGTAAAAATACTGCAAGTAATATATCACCTACAGAGAAGTTTCCTCACAACAGCCCCAGGGAATGGTACAGCATCACTAGCCCTATTTCAGGAAAACGAAGGCTCAGAGAAAGGAATGAGTCTGCCCAGGGTTACACAGCAAGGCAGCTGTGGGGTCAGGGACCTGCATCTGAGTCTCCAGGGTGCCCCCCAAACCTTGCTAGCTCAGTAATGCCGGCGCCCCGTGCTGCCCCTGCATGTCTCAGACTCAGAGCTGGCCCTCATGTACAACGATGCCTCCGTCCTGGAGAACCACCATCTGGCCGTGGGCTTCAAGCTGCTCCAGGAGGACAACTGTGACATCTTCCAGAACCTGAGCGCCAAGCAGAGGCAGAGCCTGCGCAAGATGGTCATCGACATGGTGAGAGGGCCAGGGCCGAGGGACGGGGGGGTGGGGGAGCAGCCGACGAAGCCCAGCGCGGGCAGGCCACTGGCCTGGGGTGGCATCCCAGCCCTGCCCCAGCGCATGCTGGGACCTGGAGAAAATCCTGTTTCATCTCTGGCCTCAATGTCTCCCTCCGTGAAAAGGAGGAATTTGTGCTACATTATCTCTAAGGGCCCTTCCAGATTTGATGTTCTGTCTTCTATGTTCTAGGCTCTCCTAGCTCTGATGTTTTGTGTTCTGTGTTCTAAGGGCCTTCCCAGCTCTGACGTTCTATGTTCTAAGGGCCCTTCCATCTCTCACATTCTATGTTCTAAGGGCCCTTCTAGCTCTGACATTCCATGTTCTGTGTTCTAAGGGCCCTCCTAATGTTCTGTGTTCTATGTTCTAAGGGCCTTCCCAGCTCTGACATTCTATGTTCTAAGGGCCCTCCCATCTCTCACATCCTATGTTCTAAGGGCCCCTTCTAGCTCTGACATTCAGTGTTCTATGTTCTAAGGGCCCTCCTAATTGTGATGTTTTCTGTTCTGTGTTCTAAGGGCCTTCCCAGCTCTGACATTCTATATTCTAAGGGCCCTAAAAACCCTGACACTTCTGTGTTCTAAGGGCCTCTCTACCTCCAGCATTCTATGCGTTCTATGTTCCAAGGATCATCTCAGCTCTGACACTGTTTTCGGTCCTAGGGACCTTTGATGCCTAGACGTCTTTCTTCTAAGGGTCCTCCCAGCTCTGTGGCTCTGTCTTTTTGAGGTTAATAACACTGGAAAGTTTCCAGGTCCCCTTGTTAGAACCAGTTCTAGAAAAGGAGAGGCATGCAGCTACATGGGGCCAGCCCTTTACCAGGAAGCTGGGGCCTGGTCCCCTCTAAGGCACTGTCTCTCCCTGTTCTGCCCCGCCTCGGCAGGTGCTGGCCACGGACATGTCTAAACATATGAACTTGCTGGCCGACCTGAAGACCATGGTGGAGACGAAGAAGGTGACCAGCTTGGGTGTTCTGTTGCTGGATAACTACTCTGACCGGATCCAGGTGGGCAGCTGTTCTGGCAGCCTCATCCCTTCCCCACCCCCACCCCACCTGCAGTTTGGGCAGCCATGTGGGAGAGCCCTCAGAGGGCAGAGGCAGGGGTAATGGGGAGTTACAAAGAGGCAGCTTTCAGAGAGAGGCTAGGAAAGCTGTGCCACAAGGGAGTGAGGGGATGAGCTCCCAGGCAGCCAGGGTCTTCAGATAGAATCAGTCAACAAGCATTAATTGTGTGCCTACTGTGTGCCACACAGTACGAGGCCCCAAGAATATAAAGACAAAGAATGAAAGTCTCCTTCCATTCTAGTGGGAGAGACAACAAACCTGTATGTTTGGAGAGAGAGAGAGAAATCTGTGCAGCATAAATATATTTTTGTTGTTCAGTTGTTTTTAGTTGTATCCAACTCTTTGTGACCCCATTTGGGGTTTTCTTGGCAAAGATACTTAAGTGGTTTGCCATTTCCTTCTCTAGCTCATTTTACAGTTGAAGAAACTGAGGCAAATAGGGTTAAGTGACTTGCCCAGGGTCACACAGCTAATAAGTATCTGAGGCCCGATTTGAACTCAGGAACATGAGGCTTCCTGACTTCAGGTCTGGCACTCTATCTACTGTGTCACCTAGTTGCCCTGCATAAATAACGTATATTTATTAACTTATATACTTATATATTTATATGGCAGCTAGGTGGTACAGTGGATAGAGTACCAGGTCAGGGGTCAGGAGGACCTGAGTTCAAATCCAGCCTCAGACACTTACTAGCTATGTGACCCTGAGCAAGTTACTTAACCCCAATTGCTTCAAAAAGGAGGAAGGCTTGGAAAAGGCTTATTGTAAAAGGGGGACTTTAGCTGAGACCTGAAGGAAGCTGGGAGGGGGAGATGAGGAGAGACAATTCTAGGCATAGGGGACAGCAGGAGAAAATACCCAGAGTTGGGAGATACCTTGTATAAAGAACAGGAAAGAGGCCAGGGTCACTGGATGACAGAGTCCATGGCCTCAGAAGACTGGACAGGTAGGGAGATAGCTGGTTATGAAGGGCTTTGAAAGCCAGAGGATTTTCTATGTGAGCCTAGAGGTGATGGGAGCTCATTGAGTGAGGGAGAGGAGGAGGTCTGATATTAGACCTGCGCTTTATGAAAATCACTTTGACATTCGAGTGGAGGGTGGCCTGCTATGGGGGGATAGACTGGAGGTGGGTAGCCCCACCAGCAGCAGATGGCAGTAGTCCAGGCATGAAGTGATGAGGGCCAGCCCCAGGTCAGAGGAGAAAAGGGGATGTATTCAAGAGATGTCATGAAGGTAGAGTCAATAGGATGTGGCACCTGATTTGATGTAGGGAGTGAGAGAGTCAAGAATCTAGGATAAGCCATAGGTTTCGAGCCTGAGTACCTGGGAGGAAGGCGGTGCCTGGACAGGAAGAGGAGGTTAGGAGAGGCAGGGGGAGGGCTTGGGGGGAAAAGATGATACGTTAGGTTTGGGGCTTGACTGAAGATGTGTTGGGGATGTCCAGTTCCAACTGTCCAATAGGCAATTTGAGATGCAAGCTTAGAGTTTGGGAGAGACGTTAAGGCTGGACAAGTAGATGGCTGGACAAGTAGATGGGAGACTCATCTGCGTAGAGTGGGTCATTGAAATCATGGGAGCAGATGATCAGCAAGTGAAAAAGCATAGAAGCTGAAGAAAAGAGGGCCCCAACAGAGCCCTGGGGAGACAGACACATACATTTATCAAATGTGACCCAGAGGAAGATCCAGCAAAGGAAACTGAAAAGGAGCAGTCAGAGAGGTGGGAGGAGAGCCAGGTCCTGAGAACCAGGAGAAGGGGGTGATCAGCAGGGTCGGAGACTTGACAAAGGTCAGGAAGGACAAAGACTGAAAAAAGGCCATTGGATTAGACAATTAAGGGTTGGTAACTTTGGAGATGAGGAGATCAGAAGCCACAACATAGATGGTTAAAAAGAGCGTGAGAGGAAAGGGAAGTGGAGGCATCTACTTTTGATTACCCCAGAAAGGGAAAAGAGATGGGAGGTGATGGTTACCGGGGATAGAAGGACCAAGTAAGGGATTTTGGAGAATGGGGGAGACATGGAAGTGTTTGTAGGCAGAAGGGAAGCAGCCAGTAGGACAGGGAGAGAGTGAGGATGGCAGAAGCGGTGACTTACTGGAGAAGATGGGGTCGAGTGGCATCATTTGTGCCTGGACAACAGTCAGCCTTGGAAAGGAGAAGGGCCACCTCTACATGGGAGAGGGGGCTGAAGGAGGCGATTGGGAGGGGGATGTGAGATGAGGCGGAGGGGAGAAGAGGGAGCACACGTCAAATGACCTCAATTTTTTAGGGAAGAAAGACCCTGGAGCAATTTGCCATTTCCTTCTCCAGCTCATTTCAAGTTGAGGAAACTGAGGCAAACAGGGTTAAGGGACTTGTCCAGGGTCACACAGCTAGTAAGTGTCTGAGGCCACATTTGAACTCAAGTCTTCCTGACTCAGGCCTGATGCTCTATCCACCGTGCCACCTAGCTGCCATGGAGGGCGGGAGGGTAAGTCAGTTAAGGAGGGGGTAAAAGAACTGCCTTACAAGAAGGGAGATGGGGGCAGCTAGGTGGCGCAGTGGATAGGGCACTGGCCCTGAAGTCAGGACGACCTGAGTTCAGATCTGGCCTCAGACCAAACTCTTGACACTTACTAGCTGTGTGACCCTGGGCAAGTCACTTAACCCCCACTGCCTAAAAAAAAAAAAGAAGGGAGATGGAGTGTCTTATGTGAGGATCAGATAAAAAGCCAGTTTATCTGGATCAAAGAGTGTGGGATGGAAAGATGGCGAAGGGTCAGGTTATGTAGAGCTTTGAAAACTGCACATGTAAGTGTAATCCTAGAGGTACCTGGGAGCCACTGAAGTTGATAGAGTAAGGGAGGGACAGAGGTCAGCACTTAGGGAAAATCATTTTGGCAGCTGGGTGGTGCAGGATGGACTTAGGAGTCAGAGATGAGGGACTGACAGCCACGTGCTGAGCATGTGGAAAGAGGATTCCTTTCACCCAGGGGTTGGAGCAAACGACCTCGAAGGTCACTTCTACCCCTGGGATTCTGGCACTGTGCTAAGTGAACCAGGGCAGAGATTAGCACCAGATGGATACAGCCGGGCCAGCGAGCCCACTGCTTGGCACTTTTTTCTCTTCCAAGCACCTTCCCATCCTTTACTTTGCTGCTGCTTCCGCAGGTCAGCCCCTGGGAAGGGGGTGGGGGTGAGGCAGGGGATGGGGGAGGTGCAGGACAGGTGTATAGGTTCCCACTGTGACAGACTTCAGCCCAGGAAAGTTAAGTGACTACCCCATAGTCACACAGAAAGTCTGAGTCAGAGCCCAGGCATCTCCTGCTAACCCCACTCATGTCACTGAGCTACCTCTGTGGCTTTTCTCCTGAATACTGACACAGGGTAGGTGGGTATGACTGACCAAGGCAGCTGGTGGTATAGTGAAGAGAGCCCTGGGCCTGGAGTCAGGAAGATCTGAGTTCAAATCCAGCCTTAGACACTTACTAGTGTGAACCCTAGGCAAGTCATTTAACCTCTGTTTGCCTCAGTTTCCTTGACTGTAAAATGGCAATAATAATAGCACCGCCTCCCAGGGTCATAGTGAGGTTCAAGCGAAGTAATATTTGTAAAAACCACTGCCGAATAGGCACACTATAAACACGTATCCCCCTCCCTTCCCTGCGGGCTGCCTTTGCAGCAACAGCTGGTGTTTTAACAGTAACAGTAATTGTAAGTCAAGTTTGTATCCCGGGATGGAGCTGGAAAAGATCTTGGGGGCCATCCCCCCCATTCCTCGATGAGGAATCTGAGGCTTCTAGTCCAGGGTCACCGTCAGAGCTGGGGTTCAGGTTCTCATCAACACTATTCCTTACCACTTAGCAGCAGCAGCAGCAGCAGCGTTAGCATCGTTATTCTGGCCAGGGATTCTACTGCCGACCAGTTGGCAAGCATCTCTTCGGCACTGGGCATTGTGCTGGGAACACAGATACAGGCCAAAAGACAGACATCCCCTGCCTTCAGAGAACCCACATTCTAATTGGGGAAAGACAAAACTCTTCAAAGGAGGAGGAGGAAGATTGGGGGGGTGGGAGAGTCTGGAATGATGCCATTCCTGGCCATTTCCTTAAAATGAGGATCCTAAGAGGAGCCAACCAATTGGAAGAAGGGCAGCAAGGGCTAGAGTGTACCGTACTTCCAGTGTGAGAAGGCCAGGCGCAGGATGGGCTTCCAGGGGGAGGAGGCTGCTGGGTCTGGTGGAGAAAGGTCTGTGAGTCAGAAGTGGGTGTTGAGAACTCATGGAGAAGAGATTCCCTCTGTCAGTTTTGGCCACTTTGCAACTGAAAGTCAGAGAAAAACTGCCTGGGACCCAGAAAGGTTGTAACTTGACTTTACTCACACCCAGGGCTTTGGCATGCCAGAGACAGGGACTTGAACCCGGGTCCCTGTGACACACTAGCTCTCGTTGTTATTTGCTCAGTATTATTGTTTTCATCCTCCTCATTTCTTACGTGGCTGAGGGTGGGAAGTGGAGTCCGGCCAGTCTGAGGAGGCTGTTTGACCCCTGCCCTCTCTTGGCCCCGACCCGCCGTCCCAGGTCCTGCAGAACATGGTGCACTGTGCCGACCTCAGCAACCCCACCAAACCGCTGGAGCTGTACCGCCAGTGGACAGACCGAATCATGGTAGAGTTCTTCCAGCAAGGAGACCGGGAACGGGAGAAGGGCATCGAGATCAGCCCCATGTGTGACAAGCACACAGCCTCCGTGGAGAAGTCCCAGGTCAGACTCCTGGGGATTCCGAAGAGCAAAGGATGAGAACAGATGCTGTCCTGCATCCGGGGGTGCAGGCATGCACACGAGGCAGTCTCTTGAAGGCCCAAGTTGGGTCTAATGTGTCCCTGACCCTGGGATTGTCATTGGCTTTGCAGGGAGGGGTGTGGTCGGGGGCCCAGGGGCAGCCTGCCCACAGCCTGCCAATGGAGTCAACTCCTCTCCACAGGTGGGTTTCATCGACTACATTGCACACCCACTGTGGGAGACCTGGGCTGACCTGGTGCACCCAGATGCCCAGGAGATCCTTGACACCCTGGAGGACAATAGGGAATGGTACCAGAGCATGATTCCCCGGAGCCCAGACGGCAGTGGTGGTGGCGGGCAAGAAGCCACCCTGGCGAAGGGAGCCGACAAGTTCCAGTTCGAGCTGACGCTGGAGGAGGAGGAAGGAGAGCTGGACTCAGAGGCCGAAGACCCCAGGAGCCAGGCTGAGGAAGGAGAGGGAGAGAACAGCGGCAGCGACTCAAAGACCCTGGCCACGGATGAGTCAGAGTCAGCCGAGGTGGAACCTCTGTCTCCAGAAGAGGGGGAGAGGAGGCAGCCCCCAGAGCCTGTGCCTCTGGATAACGAGAGGACGCTGTCCCACGCCAGGGTCAAGAGCTTGCCAGAGGGGGCCGGGGCTGTGGATCAGGAAGGCAACCTTACATTCTACCCGCTGGGAACGTAACAGGCATACCTGCCCTCTCCCCTCCAGGCCTGGAACCACTTCTCAGACTTAGGACTTGGGGTGGGCTGGGAGGGATTATATAAAAAAAAATCCCCTCCCAACTCTCCCCTCTCTCCCTTCTGTGACCCCCCCCAAGTCCCTGATCTAAACTAAAAACACGAGGAAACCTCCTGCTGAAACCAGAACTGGGGCCCAGAGTAGAGCTGGGGTGCTTAGTCTAGATCTGGCCGGGCCCCTGGCATCACTACAGCTCCCCAGAGCTAGGGGAGGAATGAAAGGAAGAGGGGAAACAGTTTGCTGGACTCCCTTGTGGGAACTCTGGCTGGGTGGGAGGAGAAAGCCTAGAGAATGGGGAGAAAAATTGAGAAAAGAAAATGAAAAGGAACTTTCTAACACAGCTGTCCAGCAGTGGAATGAGCTGACTTGAAAAGAAGTGAGCCTCCCTGTCCAATGGAGGTATCCAAGTAGACAGAGGCCCCCCAGGGGATTTCTGCTTGGGGGAAAGAGGAAAAACCAGATGTCTTGTGAGGCTCTGATATTTGAGTGGCCTGTTTCTTCGGCAGAGGCCAGGGGTTCATTGAGGTCTCTAGGCCCCTTTTCTTCAGCTTGTAAAAATGTGGGTTTAATCTGGTGATCTCATAGGCCCTTTCTGCTTCTAGACCCTATGATCAAGATGGTCATAGAAAGTTTGGCCCTGCCTCCCTGCCAGCTCGAGGCCCTCTGCCAACATCTCTGGCTAGCCAAAAGTAGCTAGTGCTTTCCATGGTAGAACCATGAGGGGCAATATCTCCCCATGGTCAGGACCATGTACCCTCCCTCAGGGCACAGCCCCTGGTATAGGAGGAAGAGCTCTGTCTTAAGAACCCGGGCTGTTCCTGACCTCTCCTCCAGCCCCCCCCCCCAGATTGGAAGCTCTCAAAAATGGCCCATTGAGGAAGCAATGGGAACGGGGGACGCTGGGGAGAGAAAGGGAGGGAGGAAGTGTCTGGGAGCAGGAGTCTGGCTCGGTGCTGAGAACTTCCTGAGCACCGAGGCTGGTCAGTAGTGGAATGGGCTGCCTGGGAGGTAGCGAGCTCTCCATCACCGGAGGCCTTTGAGCAAAGGCCATGTGACTGACAGAGATGTTGTGAGGGCATTCGTATTGGAGTGGCGGTGGGACTAGAGACCCCCTTGAATGCCATCAGGTTCTGAGATGCATGCTGAGTGGTTCAGAGGTGGGATTTCCCGCCCTGGGGCCCAAACCAGCACTTCCCACTTTCCACATGATTTCCAGGTGCAGGCTCCAGCTCCAGCCTTCCGCTCCCCCCAGTCAAAGAAGAGGAGGAGAGGGGAGAGAAGACCCCGGGGCCACAGAAGTAACTCTATTCCCCCACCTTCCCTCCTGCTCCCCACAACAGGCAGGCAGGAGTGGGTGTAGCAGCACCTTGGACACTGCCATTTAATTTATTTTGACACTGGCTCACGTGTTTTTAAGATTGTTTTGTAGCTCACTTTTTTTTTTAAAGTAAAGACTTGGTCACACACACACATACAAGCTCCAGGCCTGCTTATCCTGGGAGGATCCAGGCTGTGGGGCACTGATGGCTCAGACTGGCCTTTCCCCAGGATTGAGGGGGAGGGTTGTTTGCTCCAGCAGGTGGAATCCCTAGAGGGGAGGAGAGAGGTGTGCCTTTTGGGGTAGTGGGCAAGTTAGGAGGCCTAGGTTCTAAGCCTAGCTCTGCCCCTACTTCACTGTGTATCTTGGGCAAGCTATTTCCTCTCTGGTGGCCTCAGTTTCCCCAACCATAAAATTGGGGAGGGCAGGTTGAACTAGATTTTCAAATTTCCTCTTGCCTCTGACATGGCCTAAGGTCCCTCCCGGCTCTGACATCCTGTATGTTAAACTCCCAGCCCTGACATTCTGGGTTCTAAGGGTCCTCCTAGCTCTGACATCCTCTGTTCTAAGGGCCCTCCTAGTTCTACAATTCTGTGTTCTATGTTCTAAGGTGTCTCTCAGCTTCAACACTGTAATCTATGTTCTAAGATCCCTCCCAGAATTGTATTCTGTGTTCTAAGGTCCCTCCCAGCATTATGTCCTGTGTTCTAAGGTTCCTCTCAGCACTATGTTGTGTTCTAGGGTCCTTGTTCTGTAATCCTATGAATGACACCTGTGCTCCCAGTCCTGTCTCTTTCTCCTCTTTTCTCACCCCTATGTTTCTTCTGTTGGAACTTCTCCTCAAGTCTGGGCCAGCCCCTGCTGAGATTGCTCAGGGCTACAGAGACCAGAAGTCTGGGATGAAGTGAGGCGGGTCTGCCCCCTCCACTCCTCCCCAGGCCCATGGCCCCCTGGCCAGGACCAATCATACTGCCCATTGTCTTGGGATAGTAGTGGGGAAGAGGGGAGAAGCTTTGATCTTAAAGATGCTGGAGAGCCAGAGTAGGTGTCTGGGGAGGGTGGTGTGGCCTGGACCACTGCTGGGCTCTCAGGTTATGGGCTTGGGGAGGCCACCCTTTGGTCCATCTGCTCTGGCCTCCCCATAGCTCTTCCTGGTGTGGTAGGGTAAGGTGGGGCCTGAAATTACACCTGGCTCAGCAGAGGGACCCCAGAGGAGATTCCCCCTCCATCCTGTTAACACCCACCAGCCTCATCACCTGTCCTGGCTGCTTTTCCACCTCTTGTGTGTAAGGTAGACTTCAGATAAAAACAATCTTTGACAGCCTGACTTTGTGTGTTCTGTCTGTCCCTCTGCATCTTTGTTCTGACACCCAGCCAACCCCACATTATCCAAGGACAAGCACAAAGCTACCAGTATAGTTCAACAAACATGTATGAAACACCTACTATGTGCAATGCACAGCCCCATCAGCCAGAGAGGCCCTCTGATTCTTCCTCAGCGTGGGTTAAGAGAAAAAACCCTGGACTGGGAGACAGAAGGTGGAGCTCAACCCCCCCCATGCTGCCAACTAGCTTGGTGTCCTGGGACAGGTCACGACCTCAGTGAGCCTCAGTTTCCCTATCTGCAAAGTGAAGATAATCCCTGCTCTGCTGCCTTGCTAGCACTAGTCAACATTTCAGACATTAAGTGAATCTAATAAACATTTAAGTGAGCTGAATGCAAAGTGCTACACTTAGGCTCAAAAAATCAATTGCATGAGGTCAGAGTGGCTTGAAAAGGATGATTGTGAAGGAGATCTGGGGTTCTTGGGAGCTGTATAGCTCAACAAAGACACCAGTACATGGTAGCCCTTCCTCATCCCCACCCCTCAAAAAATCTAATGCCGGGGCAGTGAGGTAGTGAAGTGTATTCAGTTCTGGCCTTGGAGTCAGAAGGACTTAAGTTCAAATCCAGCCTCAGATACTTGACACTTAGTAGCTGTGTGACCCTGGGCAAGTCACTTAACCCCAATTACCTCACCAACAAAAGCAAAAAAAAAATCTAATGCCATCATAAACTGTATTTTGAAAGGGAAGAGTGGTATTGTCTAGTTCTCCTGGTCAAATGACAAGTAAAGTATTGAGTCTAGTTAGATCTAGGGCCATATCCCAGGGGGAATATGGACAAATAAATGTCCAAGGGCAACTAAACTAGAGATTAGGCCATAGGATCCACTGAAGAAATTGGGGTTGTCTAGCCTGCAAAAGAGAAGATTTAGGCAGGTCACTGGCTTCTAGTGTCTAAAGGGTGGTAACTGAGCCAAGGGTAAGAACTGGGCACTCCATCTCCTGTTTCTGGGTCCCCTGTGCCTGCAATGTACTCCCTCCTTTCCTCTAGCTTCTAGACTCTTGAGCTTCCTTCAAGGCCCATCTCACCCACCCACCATGTAAACCTCCCTCCCAGGTTATCCTGTGTGTTTGTGTTTGGTTGAAATGTCATGTCCCTCCAGGAAAACAAAAGCCCTTTGAGGGCAGGGATTGTGTTTGTTTCTGCCTCTGACTCCTTGACTACCAGTTACAAGTATTTATGAAGTACCTGTAGAGAACCGACCTCAAAGCCAGGAAGATCTGGGTTCAAGTGCAGCCCCTGACACGTGCTCGGCTGTGTGACCTCTGACAAATCCCTTAACCTCTCAGTGCTCAAGGCAGTCCTAGACAGAGACAATTTTTTTTTGTTTTTGAGTCATTTTAGTCATGTCAGAATCTTCACGACCCCATTTGGAGTTTTCTAGGCAAAGATAATGAAATGGCTTGCCATTTCTTTCTCCAGCTCATTTTACAGATGAGGAAACTGATGCAGAGTGAAGTGACTTGCCTAGGGTCACAGTTTTCTTGGCAGAGATACTGGAGTGGTTTGCCATTTCCTTCTCCAGCTCGTTTTACAGTTGAGGAAACTGAGGCAAACAGGGTGAAGTGACTTGCCCAGGGTCACACAGCTAGTGTCTGAGACTGGATTTGAACTTGCGAAGACAGTCTTCCCGGTTCCAAGCGCAGTGCTCTATCCACTAGCTGCCCTTGCAGAGACAATGCCCACCTGCATTGGGAGAGGGAGTTTTCTCATTTGGGAGTTCACTATACCAATGACATCACAGGTCAACTTCCTATGCCTATCCCTACTGACTACCGTGGCAGGCACACAGTAAATGCTTAATGCTGAACTGGGATGGATTACCCATAGTGAATGTTTTATAATGCCTGTGAAAGAATGACTTCATTCTGCATCCTCTATGGTGGTGTGAGGGCCAGCGAAGGTGGAAGACCCCAGGAGAAGCCATCCCCTCCCTACTATTTTTTTTTTAGCCTATTCTGTGGCTTAACCTTTTCCACCTCCTCACATCCCCAACTCCAAGCTTAACCAACCTCTCCTACTCGCCTGCCTCAAGATCAGCTCATCAGTGCCACCCAGTGGCCACTTTTTGTCTTATCAAATGCAAGAGACTCAGTCTTCAGGAAGGTGAGGGAAAGCCAATTGATCTATCCGTCACTCAGCAAACAGTGACAGATCTGGTGCCTTTCTGATACACAAGCAGCCCCCTCCCCCCAAATGAGTACCCTGGGAAAGGTAAGGATGGATAATGAGAAGAGCTCTGGGACTTTTTGCCCTGCAACCAGCTCCTTGGGTCACCCCCTACCCCAATCAGAGCCTCGGCTGCATTGGGGAATGATTCTCAGTACTCTTCCTCTCTCCAAGCAATGTTGAAGAGCAAACAGTTAATAGATAAGGAAGTGCTTTGTAATCCTAAAGCCCTGTAGTGTATAGTGGGTGGTGAAAGTGTCCCAAGGGATTTGAAGGGTCGGGGCAGAGGCCTGTATCTTAGCATCCCTGGGGGACTGAGGTTCAAACCTTGGCTCTTCCACTCACTGCCCTTCTGTGACATTAAGCAAGCTAGTTTACCTATCTGGGCCTTGGTTTCCTCATCTGTAAAGTAAGGGAGTTTTCTCATCCAGACCTAAATCTGTGATGTTAGGATTTGAACCCAGGTCTCCCTGACTCCCTCTACTGAGCCAGTGCTAAGGGTCAGAGGACAAAAACGTAATTTAATTCAACAAACAGTTACCTGGTGCTTTTCAGCTTCTTCTTCCTATAAAAAGTGGGGAATGGCCTTGGTGATCCCTGAGGTCCTGCCGGATTCAATATCCCAAGTCTAACGTGCTATGTTCTGAGGGTCCTTTCAATTCTAAATCCCCGGATCCAAGGCTCAGGCTGAAGTGGCTTTTTGCTCAAGGGAGGAAGGAACCAATCGTTTATTAAATGCCTATTATGTTTCAGGCACTGTGCTAAGTGCTTTACAAATATTTTCTCATTTGATCCTTGCAACCACACTGGAAGGGAGGTGCTATTAATAACCCTGATTTTTTTACAGTTGAAGAAACTGAGGCAATTAAGTGACTAGCCCAGGGTCACATAGCTAGTTAAATATCTCAGGCTGGATTCGAACTCTGGTCTTCCTGATCCCAGTACCCTATCCATTTCACCACCTGGCTGCCTCAATCCCCAGCAATCCTTCAGTCAATAAATATGGATTTATTCACACCATAATGTACAAACTCTCTGCTAAGGCTAGCTCAAGTGCTCTACACTTTTTATTTCTTGGACCCTTTTTGGCCATCTGGTGGAAGAAGCCTCTGGACCCCTTCCCAGAATAATATTTTTGAATACATAAAATAAAATATGTAAGATTTTAAAGGAAACCAAATATACTGAAATATATTTAGCAAAAAAAAAGTGTCTTTTTTTTAAGTGACAGCTCCCAAATTAGGATCCCGGAGCTAGATGTTTGCCATTATCTTCCCCCCAACAAAACCATTTCCATTCCCTGTGACTGTCCAGGGCACCACCGTCCTCCCAGTCCCCTAGGTTCAGAACCTGGGAGTCATCCTGGACTCCACTCTCATTCCCCTTTCATCGCTGACCTATTGCTAGTCCTATCCATCTTATCTTCAAATGGCTCTCTCTCCTCTCTAAGGCTCCTTCCAGCTGTAAATCCTATGGTCCCCTCATTGCACACAATGCTCTGAAGATGCACTTATTCTACAAAGGACCTACAATCTTATCAGCTGCTTATGCCTTCCCACAGTGAAAACTGTGACCCAGCCAAGTGGGTGGGTTACACCCACTCCTCAATGTGCTTCCAAGTCTTCCAAGGAGGAGCTACCCAACATTCTGGAGGCTTTTTAACCCTTTGGGGCTGCTAAGCTCAAGCTGTCCATCTGTCTTACTCTTACTATATACCCAGCCCACCACCTCAGACATAAAGATGAGGAATGTCACTCACAGTCCCTGCCTTCACCAAGATCGTCATTGACTTTAACACCAATTATCGTCCAATCCAACCAGGCATTGAAGGACCTGTTATGTGTAGAGCACTGTTAGGCACCAAGACAAAAACGAAATGCAGGCCCAGCCCTGGAGGAACTTCTATTCTATTGGTTTCAAAGGAACCAGCTTCTCCTTTACAGAGTAATCCATCGATTCTGACCTGGATGGGAGATAACCCATCCAGTGCATTTCTTGTCTTTGTCCACCAACCACTAAGCATTTATTAAGCACCTCCTATGTTTCAGGCACTGGGCTAGGCCTTGGGGATACAAATTCAAAAGATAGACCCTGTCCTCCAGGGGTTTATCTTCTACTGGAAGGGATACAATGTGCTCCCAGATAAGTGAATATAGGATATTCACAAAATAAATACAAAATTATTTGGAGGAGAAGAGGGAGATACAGGGGTAGCACTAACAATTGGGGGTATTTCGCTTAAAGGAATTAGTGCTTGAGTTAAGCTTTGAAGGGAGCTAGAGACCCAAGAAATGGGATTTCATGGATGGTAAACAGTTGTGGTTCAGTCGTTTTTCAGTCCTGCCCGACTCTTCATGACCCCATTTGGGGTTTTCTTGGCAAAGACACTGGAGTGGTTTGTCAATTCCTTCTGCAACTCATTTGACAGATGAGGAACTGAGGCAAACACAGTTAAGTGATTTGCCCAGTATCACATGGCTAGTAAGGGCCTGAGGCCAGACTTGAATTTAGGAAAAGGAGTCTTCCTGACTCCAGGTCTGGTGCTCTATGCACTATGTCACTTAGCTGCCCTGGAAACAGTAAATAGGTCCATTTGGCTGCAAAGTAGAGTGTGGGAACGGGAGTGATCTGTGATCAGCCTGGAAAACTAGGCTGGAGCTGGATTGTGGGGTGCTTTAAATGCTAAAGGAGTTTGGGTTTCATCCCAGAGGCAATAGTGAACCATTTAAGCTTCCTGAGTAACATGATTGGGTCTGTGCTTCAAGAATATT